GTTGCACTTGCATGTTTTTGCCTTTGGCGATCCACCTGTTCTCGCCTAGGCCTAAGTTTTGCCGGTTCTTTACCCCGCAACCCACTCCAGGTGGTGTCGCACAGAGAGAGTTGCACGCGAACTCTCCACCCGCAGAAGTGGCTACGTCATCATTGTGGAGAGCGCCACGCACCAGACGCTGTTGTGGGCAGGACTAAGCATGAGGGATGCACCAGGTGAAGGAGAGTTTACGCTTGATGGTGACCGAGTGTGGATCGGTCGTATGGTTACTCAGATGGTTTGGTCCAAGCTTTTCTACTACCTCGAGCATGGACAGTTTCACAATTACCGATTCCTTCTGAACGCACAAGCGGCGCAGTATTTCCGTTCTCTTGACATGGAGCCCATTGCATTGACGGCCTTGTTCCGGGATTCCACACTGAGACCGACCCGAGTGTTGACTGCAAGGGCTTCATGCTGGAACGTTTCCTGCATCAGAATGGCCTCAGGAGCGTAGAAACCCAAGATGCTCAGCCCCTAAACTTGTGAAAGTCACGACTCCATACTTGTCCTCGATTGGTGCCGCCAGGAACATCTTCGAGCGGGATGCTGCAGGGTGGCCGCCCATTTGCTTTGCAGCGATGAGCAACAACGTCGTTGTGCTGGAAGCGCTTCTTGACCGAAAGGTGGATATCAACCAGGCTACGACCAAGCCCGCAACAGAAGTCAATCTTCCTGCTAAGCTGACGGCTCTGGGAATAGCTTCCTTAATGCGCAACAATGAAGCTGTCGAGCTGCTTCTGTGCGCCCGGGCCCACGTGAACTACAAGGACGGTTATGGTGGCAATGCTCTCCATATCGCGTGTGCCGGGGACAATCCACACGCAGTACGACTACTCTGCCATGCTCGTGCCAACGTGAATCAGCAGTGCATGCCAGGAAGTAGCCCTCTTATGCTCTCGTGTGCATGCGGAAGTCGGCGTGCCATGAAGGAGATGCTCACTCTGAATCCAGATTTGAGTTTGCGACATTGCCTCCACGTCGCACTCATGTTCGCTGGAGGCGGCTCTGCCGACTTGGTTTCCGTCTTGCTCGAGGCTCGGGCGAATGTGAATGAACAGTTCCGAGTAGACATCCGGGAGCCCGGTTGGTGGCTTCTGATGAATGGCATGGGTGTGAGGCATCGGGTAAGCCCTTCCAGACTGACTCTGCTGGCTTATCATCATTACGATGCTACGCCGCTGATGTTCAGCATTCTGAGTGGTTCTCTGGATTCTGTGTCCTCCCTGCTGTCAGCTCGAGCCCGGGTAGACATCCAAAATTACCGCAAGAGCACGGCATCCGATCTGGCACGCCAGATGCTCGCGCCATCGTGGTTGATCGAGGCCTGTTCTACTAAAGGCGAGCAAGACACCGAGACCCTTGCCGAGAGCGACATGTTTTCCATTTGAGAGGTCTTGGCCGACACTGGAGGCGCGTCCAAGTCTCACGACGTCAAGTTATTCTCAGTTTAGATGTCTTGGTTAATCGAGGTCGAGACACCGAGACCCGT